TATATTTAATAGATCTATAAATATAAAATAATTATTATTAACATTACAGCAGTAATGACTAAAAATGGAGCTTCTTACCATATTATTCTACTGTATAGTTATAGTCATAAATACCAAACTTTTCTCTTAGCGTGAGAAACGAACATTTGATGATAAATACGCAATCGGGGGGGGTCATGTGATATTTCCCCTAGGACGGAAACGTGAAAAGTGAAAAGTTACGTGAACTCTACGATCATCTACGATCGCGGTGTCATGTAACTCTTCCAACCGTGAAAATATGATATGAAATTGTTTACGTGAACTTTTTCGCCATGATCCGTAGCGGAAATTTGAGGAATTAATAAATATACTTCGAAATTAAAATAAATGTAGTCTGGCCATGTTATGTTCTTTGATAGATTATCTTGGCAGATATACGTACTATTATCTAGAAATAAGTTAACGTACTGTGAATATCGACTTAGAAGCTAGCGCATCCAAGCTATATACATAATCGCTATGCGTGAAAAGTTTCACCTTAATAAAAAATAAAAAGTGAAAAGTAAAAAATGGAACGTGAAAATTTTCACGTGAAATTACATAATCAATCACTAAAGCATGGAAACACGGTTTTCACAAGTATCTGTTTTTTATAAGTTTATTTATTGTTATAATTGACATCTCATTAAACTATAAAATAAATAGATTAGCGTCAAATCGATCGTTAAGCAAATCAATAATGTCGTTCTGTATATATAGTACCTGAGTTTTCAACTGTCTGCTCATATCGTGTCATTGCCGGGCTCATCAGCAAGCCGAACGCCAGTTGCAGCCCATGAGAGATTAGATGCACGAGAATCGTTATTATGATAATAACATATCCCCAGCCACCTTCCGGATAGTAATGCTTATTGAGCGTAATTTTTTTTCGAGCGTTTATCGCAGTGAAGGATTCCTCTGCCTCCTCCACGTTCTCAAGGTGATCGAACAGATTCTCAGATTCGCCAACGCTGCCGAGGCCTCCCTCGAGAATTAGTTGTTCGGAGAATCGCCTTCTCATCATCTTAGGTGTAATCGGAAGGATGCTATTTTTACGGTCAGTAAAAGCACTGGTACTTTTTCTGTTAGCAGCGAGATGCGCATTACTGTTAGATTTGTTAGCAGTTCGAGATTTACTATTTTTTGAATCTTTAATATCGATGGGCGTGGAATTCTCAGGATGAAACGAAACGACTGATTGTGTCATGTGAACTGTCGCTTTCGGAAATGTTCGCGGACGGGTATTACTAGCGATGATTGGTTCTGCGGCACCTCTGGTGCCTTCGCAGTTTCCGATTGCATCACCGACGAGTGGCTGCTCGGAGAGTCTGCGATTATCTACGCGGCCGATCTTGCAGCCGCGCAACGAGTGCGTTTGATCCGAGTACCGACGCTGGGGTATCGGACCGGCGGCGATCGAGTGCCGACGCTGAATCGTCGTCGTCCCGTTGTCCCCGATGTCGACGTAAAGGCTGCCAGCAGAGTTTCTGCCGGAGGAAGGAGGCAAGAAGCTCTGACAAGTAGACACAGAGTTTCCGGAGTCTTTCCGCCTCGCGCCGACTCCCTGAACCGAGTCGGCCCTGGCGAAGCAGGAGGACGTGGACGAAATCTTCCGGCGCTGATACTGACACTGAACGCAACGGCACCGGTATTGGTACGCGGAGAATTGCGCCAGGAAGCAACGGCATCGCATCATACGTGATAGGATCTCCGGATGCGCTAACAGTAACTCGGGCAGCTCGATCTCGCTCCATGATTTCGCAATGTCGCCGGAAGACTCTCTCGTCGACGCCCGTTTCGAAACGAGGCTCTCGGTCGACGTGCGAGTCTCGGATTCCACACTGTATATTTTCCGCGCGATGCATTCGCGTTGCCGGCAGCAACGTGCCCGCGTTGCATCGTCACGATGGGGATAGGATTCCTCTTCCTCTGGCTCTTCGTCGTTGTCATCTTCGTCGAGCGAATTCTCCTCGCTCATAGCCGCGCTGTAAGAACGGCGACGTTTGCGATATGCCGGTTCCTCGTACGACCTCGCCGAGTCAGCTTGTTCATCCATTTCGCGGTTCGTTTCTCAAACTCTTACAATTGAAGCGGATGCAGTCTCAGAATCTACGTGCTGAGAAAACGATTCGAAATCGAGTTATGTTACTGTTACGCGCCGTCGCTTTACTTATCGCGATATTTAAATGAGTCACAAACAATGCAGTCTTATCGTATATATTTAATCTGCTTTTCTTCTAAAAGAGGTGTTTATGATGCGTTTATCTCTCTCTCTCTCGTGCTCTTATCTGTTTCTAAAGCAAATAAAATTCACTATCAGTGAAATTCACTATAGTATTTACGGATACGCGTAGCATGGTAACAACGATACACCGGGAATGCGAAGCACTTTTTCACTCATTGTAACAATTCCACATTTTTCAAGTTTTGGTATTTATTCTTTTTTTTTTCACTTTTGTAATTGGATTCATCGTGAAAGGGTGCCTACAAATAAAACCGAGTATTAAGTTACACCAACATCGGTGGATTGCAAACGAGAACTATCCTCGATGTGTGAAATCCAGCGATGTTTCGTAGGTGCATCGCAATTCTTTGCACGCATTAGGCTGAACGTGAGCCGCGCGACGCGTTTCGACTGTCGATTCGTTGTCCTGATTTTTCTCGCACGTACGTTTTACGATGTTACGCATGATAGGTATTGTTCTTTCGTATGCATTAATCCCGAAAATAGTAAGCCCCGGATGAAAAGTATCCTTACGTTTTCGGAATAAATGATGATGCTAGGAAATACATACAGAAATTATTATCGTTGGAAAAACTTACTAAATTTTTTATTATGAAATGAGAAATTATGATCTTAGTTGATACAAACTTGAAATTTGATTGCGGTTTATAGATTTATATTCATTTTTATCTGCGTTATGGAGTTAATATCTATTTATTACTGTAAAAAAGATTTATTTGTTTTGTTTATTCGATCGAACTTTCTTACCTCCTATATACATATACTAATTGAATAAAATTTCTTAAAATTGTATATGCAAAAAATGATGTTATTGGTAGTAACTAATAGCAGTTTAATTGAAAATAATTTTGTTAATTTATAATAGTATTAATAAAAGCAAATACAGCATACTGTTGTTTTAATAAAAACTGTTTAACAAGATTATTTTTTTCTCAATTAGATTGCTGTTAGCTAATATTGTTAATACATCGTTAATACGTCTTTTTGATGTAGTATTAATGAAAAGTAACATTGAAAGAAATACTTTATTTCGTCAGAATCAAAAGATTCTGTGGAGATTGTAAAAACTGCGTTTGAACATGACAAGGCAAACAAATTGCGGTCAATTCATTGAAACTTGGCCTGTGGGAAACGCGGCAAGAAAATCAATGTGTGTCAGAGGTGCAAAGTTGAGTATAACTTTGATCTCAACTTTGACTACAGTTATCGAGTTTCTTTAGAAATGGTAAGCATTATTTCCTTTTAATGTTACTCAATGGCACATTTCATTTTAGATAAAACTTTTACAATTATTTTATTGTTATGTAATAAAGTTTCGTCAAGTTATATAAACTGCATTCTTAAGAATTCCTGAGAAATAAACATTACATTGAAAAAAATTTACTATTTAGGTACTATTTAAAATTTACTTTACTTAATAAATATTTTTTTAAATATTTATAAGTAAACATTTACTGAATATTAACATATGTTTATTTGATACAAGAACCATTAATTTAACTATTATTTTTTTCATTGAGTAAATGTTTATTTACTGTAAGTAAACTACTTACAAATATTAAAAAAAATATTTATTGAGATATAGTAAATTTTTTTAGAGAAACATAATAGTAACAGAATTAAAATTTTTTTGTATATGTAGGTCTGGTTTGGATTTATCATTCAGTATTTTCTAATAAAAAACTAATTTATTTGTTACGTCAATATTTAATCTATTACGGATTTTATTTTGGATAAAGCTTAAATTGAAAACACACTCTCTCAACTGTGCTAAATTAGAATTCTGATATTAGAATATTGAATTAGTGATAATAAAATTTTCTATTGTTTTATCATTTTTCTAGTGGTAAAAAATATTTTACCACTGGCACAAACTCTTTATTTAAAAAATGTGTAATTTTCCAACTTTGTATGAATAATAGAGAGAGAGAGAGAGAGAGAGAGAAAAATATAATACTTTATTTTAATAATTTTATATATATTTTTATTAAAAAGTATGAAATATAGGTGATAAATATAATAGACAATATTTACGAGGATCGCACATTGATTGAAGATCTGGATTTCTCGAGCTTTCATCTCTTCGCTCTGTGTCCAATGTGTCCATAGTACCTCTGGGATTATAATTTATGATACGACTAGATTTGAGAGGGTGTATGAATAGTTACGTGATCAAAATATCATCCGTAAGGAGACATATCCAGGTCAGAATTAGGATACTTATCATCGTCAAGATTTATCTCGATTTACTTCGATTATTTACCTCCGATGATGATAAATAGTCTTCTATTAGTTCGTGAAAAATAACGATGTTGTTCAAGAAAGATAGAAAGTATAACATTATTTTAACTAAATATGTAATAAAAAATATTTAATAAAAATAAGACTTTTTTTCACACATGAACATCAGAAATCAGCTGCAGTAATAACATACTGCAGTTTATTTTTAAATTTAAAAAATTTTGATTTATATTTAAGATTTATCTGAGAATATTAATGAATGATTAAAATTTTCATAAATACATTTGCGTTAAATTTGCATTATCATTCATAATTAGCATGTAGAATTTGTAAATAATAGCCACTGACAATTAACGAATAGAATATTGATGTGATACACATATTACCAGAATACATAGAGATTTGATTCATCAACTTTATTATATCTATCGGGAATTGTATTTATTTATTATGTTATATAACTAAGTACTATTATATTACAAGTTTTAGATGTTTAGATAAAATTAATTTCCGATGCATTAAGAATATCAAATTTCATACCTGCACTGTGTAACGGGGGATGTCGGAACTGCAATTCGGCTGTTATATGCCAGCATCCGGGCGCGGCGAGTTGCAGACCCACCCCGATGAAATGCACCAATACTGAACACGTGACAATGACATATCCCCAACCTCCCTCGGGGTAATAATGCCGTCTCAAAGTAGCCTCCTTTCTGAAGTCCATTGCCGGTCGCATCGGCGATAAATCGTAATTTTTTCTTTGTTGCTGCAGTTTTTTGCTATTTTTATCCACGTTTCTTGCTTCCCCGATTAGGCGGTCCGCGTACCAGGTATCTTTGCTTTGATGCTTCTCGATTTCCATTTTTTCGCGTGCGATCAGATCGCTTCGAACGCTACGCGCGTTCGTAGCATCGTTTTTCTTGTTCTGCGAAGGGGAACGAAAAGGATCGATCTGCGAGCGAAGGACACCCTCGGACGTGCACTTTGGACAGGCATGAAGATCATTCTTCGATGAAAATGACATGGATGTCACATAATCGTCATAGTCCACCACCTTGATATGCGGTGGCGAAGATGTGTGTCTCGCTGAGGATGTGGGCGAAACGAGAGTTTGATATTTTTTCCTCATCTCATCTGTTTCTCGCGTTTGTGAATGATTTGTTTGCGCGATGCTCACTGTGTGTTGACTTTCATTTGCAATATTTACTATGACATCAAAAGCATTCGTTTCTGCGAATGAAGGAGATTTATTTTTCAGTTGTGCGGATACTTCCTTTCCTTCCTCGACATGCACATTTTTCGAAAGCAACTTTGAAAAGTCTATATCTGATGTAGTTCTCGAGATGGAGTTTCTTTTCATATCTCGCGTCCTTGTTTCATTATTAATCTTTTCGAGCGAGTCCGATTTACATTTCAATGGATTTCGGACGATGTTTTCTTCTAACACAATGACCGAGTTTTGATGAGTTGCAGTTGTCTCGATTAAAGAAAGACTGCGCGGCATGAAATATCGACTGGTATTTTTTATGATCTTCGTCTCGTTAGTCACATCGGACGAATTCTCAGAGAAATTCGCGGGTTTCTTATTTATAGATGGCCTTCCGTCGATTAATCTTCGTTTTATCATCACGGACGTGACTCCTCCTGGGGCACATCGATCTAGAAGGATGACTTCTTCCAGGCAATTAGATCGCGGTGCAGTTTGTTCCAATCGATATACCGTCTCGCGGCTCGTTGGGATAATTGTAAAGGCACGAGATAAGGGATCAACGCGCACCTTCACTTTTTGCGGTGCTCGATCGGGCCAAGAACTGCTGTGCCTCATTTTATTACGTCTGTGTATTGTCATGCTATGTTAGAAACTTTTACGGTCCACTCGAGCGAACACATTGTTGGGTAAAATTCTTTCCTGTATCCTTTAGTGGATAGATAACTCTTGTCCTCGAAGGTGAGGATTTGGCAATTCGCCTTGCCATACCGACGATTTGTATCCGTGTGGAAATAATAGAAATTATAGTCGCTAGTAGAATTTGTCGGGAGTATTTAATAATATGTAAATGAGTCGCATTCTTGATGCAGTATACGCGCAGGGCACGCGCATACGTGTAATCGTGCCGTAACTCTTCGTGGTAATCGTACATATTTTATACGTGTCACCAGACGTTTGCGACGTTCACTCTATATATTTCCACTAGAGTGCGTTTAAAATAAATCAAAAAGTAATTCTGAGATGTTAATTCCTTGGAAATCCTTCTACCACCATGAATAATGTTTAATTTATTTTAAGACGAGCTCGAATTAAAGGAAGATTTAATATTTGTGATATGAAAAATGTAACGAAGCAATAGTATAATCGCTAATTTTAAGAATTTTCGCGGGCGAAATGCGGATACGAGTGTTGATGTGATTGCAAATGTTTATTGCGCGAGGTAATGATCTATAACATCCGATGATGGAAAGATAACTTCCGAGATGCAAGCGGTCCTGGCGAATGCGCCAGGATGACTGTTACGCACGTGCTGCTTACTTGCGATCAACCCTCTCTCTATGTTCTCTCTCTTTCTCTCTCCCTCTCACTTTAGCGGATGGCAGGCGCATGCTTGCAGATACCCGACGAATCGCGAAAGCTATGTTTTCCAACTTTTTTGTGCTACAATATGAGCGCTCGTGTCGCGTGCTCATATTGTAGCTCATATGCCCCTGATTCTCGCGAATATCATGACGCGCGCATAATTTAGCAGAACACTTCTTGCAGATTTAGGCCTTGATTAAGCTAAGCTCTTAGTATCTGTATTTTATGTCGAGCTTTGTTAATGATTAAAGATTAACCTTTTACAGGATAAAATTGTAACGAAAAAATAGTATAATGTAAATCTGCAAATTTGTGTTTGAAAAATTTTAGAAAAATGAATCAAGTAAACATATATAAAATATATAAAATAAAAATAGATTCTCATGAATGTTTTCTCTTTTTTTAAATTTAATATTAAAAGTTGTTTTTTAAAATAAAATTATTTAACATGTTAGTTTTAATTAACTGGATGTAGTTGACAGATATGATTCCATATGAATCTGGCACGAAAACGTTATTTGTATGCTTCGTAAATTTCAAATGATGTCTCTAATTACATAATCCGTAGAGTGTAGAGGATTGCTATAAATATACAACTTGCGAGGTTGAGACTAATCCGCACAGTCATTTAGATTTAGTAAACGAACTCGAGCTCATCATACTGTACTCACATATGTTTACATGTGCACATATTTCTCTACACATACACATACATACACACGTTTAAGTGAGTAATAGTGCAATAGATAGTTGAAAAGAAATAAAAATAAAAGATTAACTATATCAGTATTTAACTATTTTTTATAGAAATAAAAGATTAATTATATAAATATTTAATTATTTCTTACAATTTCTTATAATTACAATTAGATATAAGTTCATTGATAAATTTGAAAAAAATTACACATTTATAATATCATAAATCATCTGTAAATTGTCTTCTTCATACAATTTCAACTTCATAATGTTTTAAATACGTTATCTCAAAGAAGCATTACATACTTTCTTGACGTTGAACGCTCCAATTTGTCTCGCGACGAGAAAACTGTAGTCTCGGAGAATTCAAGCTTGTTTCTAGAGCCATCTCTGTAATGCTATTATGTTTTCCATTTACCCCTCATCGTGCAGAAACTGACCTACCTTTATGACGCGTGCGATCAGTCGTTCACAATAATACAAGAGAAGCGTCGTTTAAACAAGAGATACAACTTGGGGCGGTGACGGGATGAATGATGAATTCTTCAACGGGAAAAATGGGTAGTGAAGTGCAGAGGTAGAAACAGACACAGGAGAAGAATCGATCTCTGAAGAAAAGTACCCTGGATTCCTTTCCAAAGGAGGAAAGGAATAGAGAATCGTAAAAATTTGTTCGCTCAGGAGATTACTTGCGGCGATGTCATCATCGACGAGGTCGGCGATCATGTTTGTTCAACTGCTCGGGTTTTATAATATGATTTCTCCACGGAAAGAACGATTTTAAAGCATTTAAAAATTTAATTAGATACACATCTGAAAATAAATTTGACCATCGAAATAATTATGTAGGAATTTCAATCGTGATGAGCAATATTGCAAAAAGTTTTGACATTCCAGCAGTCAACTTGAGCGTTCTACATAATTATTTTGATGGATCAACAAAATCATTTTCAGATCTATATATCTAGCTAAATTTTTAGATACTTTAGTAAAATTGATCTTTCTGTGGATACTTTTTCCGGAAATAACAGCTCAAGTTGACCTTATTCAAGTAAGGGGATCGCGATCAGAATGCAGGTGCACACGACTGACGGAAACATTATTACCGATGATATATGCGAATTCCATGCGGAAGTTTGCGGGGATGAAAGATAAAGCTTTCATCATCGTCATGACATCGTCGTCGTTTTCGTTGTTGTCGTTGTCGTCGCTGACGCGATATGAAAGGGATAGACAGGGATTCGGGCATTCGGTGCATGGTAGTATGCTGATAAATTTAGGCAGGCGATGAGCACATGTACTTCCTTTAGGCGCGTACAGCCTCTCTTAAAGTTCGCGTGATTTATTACCGCATTAATTCAGGATCGGTCTTAGCTCCAGCGAGCGGTGAACGTGACACCGGTGCGAATTTTATCACGTGTTGTCAGACGAACGTCTTTTCGTGGATACTTTGTTAAGTGGAGCACGGCTCCTCGTCGTCGTGCCGCGCGAAAATATTCTGTGGTCGAATTAACGTGCCTCGCGCGAAACGTTCAATGAAACCCTTCAGGCGTGACTTAGCGAGATTACTTTGTCAGCTTGGAAAAAACGTTGTAACTCAAACGCCGCAGATATAAATCAGTAAAGAGATACGTGCGTTAACGTGCATGAGCTGAAGGATATAATGAGATTTATGATGGATTGGATGCTCTTCAGTTAAAATTTTAATTCCCGAAATTGTATACGCCGCGAGAATGTTAACTCATTTATATCCAACGTTTCGCTTTCGCAACATGTTGTACCAATCGTAAAGTCTGTATAACAATGCAATTAGATCTAACCATGAATGTAAAGTAGCTACTTGCACAATTAGGTTGTGAACATATTGCACTATACATAGCTGTAACCAAATATATGTTTTCATTTGGTACCTTTTTTGCGAATATTGAAGTTTATGATTTATTAAAGATGTTCTATTTTTTTGACAAAAACTATATAAAATGGAAAATCTTTATGAACTAAAAATGTTAAAATTTTAGAGGCTAGAAGTAGGATTGCCTCGAACTCTTATTAGACTAACAAAATGGTTGTATAAAAATCGTGATCGATAAAAGAGTGAGTATATATGGGTTAGATAAATTTATTCAAATTGACGACCGGCGTGACGAGGCTAATCTTGAACTAGGCGAAAAATCAGGAGCAAGATTTCCATGGTGTAATAGCAAGTTTGTGAGTATAGTGGCTGGCGAGTTTCTCTCCATTTTAGCGATACGTTATCAGGTTGATCTGTCTCGCTTGTACGAGACATTATTGTATGTATGTAACTAGAACGATCTAGATGCGTATGTTTCTCGGTGCTTGCAACCTGTCGCCCTAAATGCCGAAAGCAACCCCGGCTGATCGATATACTTGAAGAGTACGACGGAAAACTTTTTCTTCGTCTTACAACCATCGCGTCTCTTTAAAAGTTTGCGAGTTCAGTTATTGCATTTTGAAGTTGCAGTGACATTTGAAGAATCGGCGAAGCGACGTCCAAGAGTGCCTGGCACGCCGTGAATGTCTGGGAATAATTTTAGCATTCCGCGAACTGACTTATCTCCTTCTCTCTTGAACGGAAATGGCATTCCGCTTTTATCTTTGTGCCTTGTAACAAGTTTCAGAGAATGCGAATACGATGGCTTTCTTATGATCTATTAAATCTAGTTACGACCTTGATCGCGCACTTGCACTGCGCCCGATACGAATCGTAAAACTTATCTAAGAGAATCGCGGTCGCATTTGAAACGAATCGTACCTTTGTTTGCTTCCGGAATTTATCTTCCGTTTCGGATGCTTTCGCACAGGAATCGTCTCCGTCTCCGTCTCCTCTTCGATTTAATCTATGAAAAATATGTTTGATGACGGTTGCGCGTAATGCCGTTCTGCATCGAGAGATTCGATCTGAATCTAATCAGTCGATAACGATAGCGATAGAAATTCCCTTGGAGCCGTTTGAAGCGCGAGGCATTTGACCCTTGTATAGAACGAGATCTTGAACGCTAATGGATGACCACCAAACCGCCACTTTAGCGAGATTGAAACTGTCGTTCACACGTACCGAGCATGATGGATGCGGTGCTTTATAAAGTCGTTCGCTTCTCGTACGTACTCGTTAACTCAAGAGACTCTTACCTTTCCTATTCTTTCCTTCGCGTAAATAGCGCGTTCGTTTCGTCTCATTTGATAAACGTGTCAGACGGCTGAAGTCACGACGGCGCGAAAGGCAGTTATAGTTGTTAAAGTCGTTTGAATATTCGAAGCGCTCCGAGTCTCATGCCTCGAAAGCTATCATCTTTGCTTTTGTCGTTTTAGATGGTTTCCAATTATTGCGTCCGACTGTTACAAACTTAAGCATCAATCTTGAAGGCTCATCAAACGCGCTTTTGTCATTTTAAATGCTTTCCAATTATTGTACCTCAGCTGCAATAATTTCAAGCAGCAAGACTAAAAAGTATGAAGCTTGCTTTTGTCATTTTACACATTTTCCAATTATCACGCTCGACCGCAATATCATTTTTTACTTGTCAAGGCTGAAAAGTGTCAAGCTTGCTTTTATCTTTTTACATGTTTCCAATTATTTCACTTGACCGTAATAATTTTAAGTATAACGCTCGAAAAATGTCATTGTTACTCTTGTTTTGGATCACTGGTTCTTGGCACTATCATTTCTAGGTGACCTGTTTCATTTCAAAGGGGACGGTATGAATGGTAGAGGGGAGAAGAGTTTAGATTATTTCTGTACCGTAACTTTAATAGGATAAATCAAGTCTTTCTCTCTATTTTCATATATATATTATTAAATTATATCTTTTAAATTTTTTTCTGAAGCAGCTGCTAATCAACATAACGCTAATCAACAAACTTAAATTAGTAAAAACGTGAATAAACTTAATCGGTCTGCTAAAAGAACAAGAAAATTATTTATGCGTTTACTTCTAATTCATTTTGTTATTATATTAATGCAAAGCAAACATTGAATATTAAATTTAATATGTTTTGATATTTTGACTATTTAAAGATAAATGTTAAAATTATCTTAAAGGATATTGCAAGGATTGGCTGATAGATAATAAGAGACGAAGATTTCAAAAAGAATTTTTATTATTTACAACATCACTAGTCTATGGCAGGGCATCAAGATCGGCTAAGGCGATCTTCATCCTCGTTTTCAGTTCGTCCGCGTAGCGTAAAGCGGATTCGTCGATCCTAACGTCCTCCATTAAGAGATCGCAATCGAGATGTCGGCTGTCGCAAGCTCGGTGATGGTGTTTGAGCACGTCGTTTGAGTCCAGATGATGAGCCCGTATAGTGGATGGGTTCAGCGTGGTTAGAGCATAGTGATTGTGCACCGTTAACGCGCGCTTCGTGGAGACGAAACTTTTCACCGAGTCGCCCTCGGGCGAAATACTGGCCGTTCTCATGGTATCCAGATAGTCTGTATACTCGGCCGAGCGACGGATCTTCTCATCCAGTCCGGTCAACCGATCGGTTTGACTCCTATTTTGCAGCTCGAGAAAGAAATAGGCGTTCCGTACAGAATACGAGGCGAAGTCTTTAAAGCTCCTGCCCAGCTTCGCGCGTTCATCTAACAGCAATTCGTGCCAGGTCTTCCGGCGCGTTGGCACAATCGCCTCATCGATGTCGATTGGTACCACAAACTCCGAGCGGTAAATATTTTCATAGAAGCAGTGATTGTATGGGATCAACTCCATTCGCCTCTTCGTCCAGATGTCCTCGCTGAAGAATCGCCTTCGGGCCGTCTTCTCGTTTGGCAAATCACCCGGCAGGTCAAGCGTGAACCATCGCACCACGTTCGATCGTTCGTATAAGCGTAGCACTTTGAGTACGTTCTCGTGCACGTTGAATACGTAGAAGTAAAAGAACTGAGCGCCTAAAATACGATGTAGCTCGACGAAAGCTATTAGTTTATGCGATATATCCTCATCGAAGTCCAATCCTTTAATGCACAGAGTGAATCTTCCGATCGGCAAAAGTCTCGTCACCGAATTCCGAGCGAATCGTTAAACTATGACTAGCATTCTCGTAGCAAGAACTCGGACCTACATAAATCCGAGATGTATGGCGTATTGAGCCGTCTAACGGCAATTGACAATTCACGAGGATTCCGATATAACTGTTCGCCATCTCACCCCATTCGTCCAACCAGATTGTCGAGATGAGCGCCTCCACGCTCAACGATAGCATCCCTCCGTTCTCCCAATACCTGAAACGTAATAAAACCAAGACGCTTAATCTATCTTTTCCGATCGAAAAGACACGTTAATGTTGAGTATCCTACCGGAAAACACCTGCACGCATGGTGGAAGGCATTTATAGAGACATTTATAACGCGGTCTCTCAACCGTATATTTTAAGCGAATATGCTCCATTTCGCGTCGTTGCTAATGTTTGCTTTACTCACTCCTAACGCTACTTGAAATAACTAACTTGTGTACGTTCAACCCGCGTTAACAAAGTTTAATTTCACCGAAATTAATAGTATAAAATGAATTAATATACTTTATTTAATAAGTTTGATATTAACGTGTTTTTATGTCCTATATAATACATCTATTTTAAGTATATTAAAAAGAAGCAAGACTCTAGCATTTTTTTTTTAATGAAGAAACAAACAGACGAATACGCAAAGCAATTTTATATTTCAACTGATAACATTAGGAGTTAAACATCTGTTATTTTCAATTTGAAAAATAGTTTAAAATTGTATTTTGTTATGTAAGTAAGGCAGAGATAAGCATGAAATTTAAAGCATATTGTTCAATTTTTACAACTTAATTGACAGTGTCATTTTGACTAGATAATAGAAATAGAAAAAATATTTATAATTTTATTAAATAATTAAAATAATAAATTTAATTATAATCTCATTGAATTTTCGTTAGAGAAGGTTGATATTAATTTTGGTCGATTTGTCACTGCAGAGGCAATAGATGACGTCACTCGTTTATAAGCAATCTTTAGTGATTCTCTTTTCCTTGATACTTAACGTTCGTCAGAGATAGACGAGTAACGGGCTGCATCGCGACATGAAAAATGGCTCACCATATAGTGCAGAAGAGCGCGGAGGACGGCAGGGCTCCTCGTTTAACGCCAATCACTCTGATGCTCGGGTAACCAGCGATTCTGAGGTCCAAGTGGGCGCTGTACAGGAAGAGCTGTCCCGGGATTGTCTCAAGCCATTTCGTGCCGGGCAGCTTGTATGCGTTTAACGCCATTCCGCGCGTACCATTACCGTCGCACTGCTTGGTGGGCCTGTAATCGAGTGCCAATCTTCGGGCCCACGAATAAGCGACGATGCTTCTTGTGCCCGGCGGTTCACCTCCTAGAACATGCGCAAGGAATGACGCTAAGTTGTTTGATCGGAACGAATGGAGAAAGCATTTGGAGAAGTTAATTATGTGGCTTGGTGAAGAGAATAATGCTAATTCAAGTTTTTGATAAGAAAGTAATATGCACACATTTCGTACTAGCTATCAAGGTCCGTTTATAATACACGTAGTAAGCTTGATTTAAGAAGTAAGAGTAAGAAATAAAATTAATTTATTTCGCTTATGCCTATAGGCTCATCTACAATATACGTAATAAGCTTGGTTTAAGAAGTAAGAATAGGTATAAGAGTTTAGAGTATAGGTGTAGATGTAGGCGTAAGCGAAATAAATTAATTTTATTTCTTACTCTTCTTACTTTTTAAACCAAGCTTACTACTATATTGTAAACGGGCCTTCACAGAGTCGGCATTATCCTTGTGCTGCGATTTATATTTATATTTTTAAAAATTATAATTAAAACTTCCGATTTTTATTTTCCTGTTCAAGTAGTGTCTCATAAAAAATAACATATCTAGCGTTCGTATTCAGCAAATGCATTTTGTGTCGAACTACTAGAGATTGTTATACGTATTATATTGAAGTAAAAAATAAAAAACTGAATTAGTGAATTGTTGAATTATAGTATATTATTTAATAATTCTTTTTCATATGATGAAATATGTATCTTCCAAATGTATAATATATTTGTAGGAAAATAGGTTACTGTTTTCAGATACTTATAAAATCAACTCTGTTAAGCTTCTTATAGCTAACAAAGGAACATTGTCGACATAAGATGCATTTAAGGAGACCCTATTAGCGATATTTGTGTCATTTCTTCTTTATCGTTCATTAGACGGAAAACAAGGATAGAATGACACAAAGAGCGCTAATTTTCTCCCATGCTCCTACAGAATCCATAAATATGGATAAAATTTTGTGTGAGCTTTATTTCATATCCATCGCTCTTAGAAAGTATAATATTAAGCAATTATAAAAGACAATTTTTAGCACGTGACACTAATATTTTAATAAGGGAAAATATTTTGAATAAAAATTTGCAAATAAGTTTAGCTGCAAGTTTGGCTGCAAAGCCAAAAATCGTAAACAAATAGGATTGCAAAATATTAGAACATTATTAAAAGATATTTAAACATCTTTTTATCATTAACAAAAAATTTTCTTCCTAAATTTTTGCATTTTTAAATATGAACATTGAGAAAAAATTGTTCATTTGACTAAATTAATTGGATTGTCTTTATTTCTTTTAAAAAACTGTTTATTTGACCAAATTAATTTAGCTCTTTATTTCTTTCGATGAAGAATTATGTATTTAAATCAAATATATCATATTTGGCTTAAATACATATAATTTTTCCAACGAAAGAAATAAAGAGCTAAATTAATTTGGTCAAATAAACAGTTTTTTCTCAGTGAAACGTTAGACATTAAAATCATGTTAGAATGCAATGTTAGGGCAATATTTATAGTACTCGTACTTATATTTTATTAATATGATACGCTGATTTTAATATATTACAGAATATAGCATTATAATTTATTTATTTAATAAAATTAATTCTGCTGGATTTAGCATTTACAACATTTATAGGCATGACGTTGCCTTCATGTATTTCTAAATTATCCACATTTAAAGGCGAATAATGCATATTCATGTAGTTCGAGTTACTCTATACTCAAAGTTTCATCCGAGTTAACTAGTTAACTAGTTTCGGTTGACTATGTTTTCTTGTAATAGCAAGTGCCTGCGCTGCCGTCAATACACGTTGTATATATAATAAACTGTATACTGTCTGTAGCTTATCAAAACTTTTACGTTATTACACCGATAGTATCGCTCGCATTCCACTTACTGGCATATCATCTTATCATTTCTCTGCGAGTGTGATGTCTCGGCTGTGTTCGTTTTACTAAATGTCGACTTATTGTCGAAGCCGCGCGATCGATTCTCTATCTTATCCGTCACGAGGATCATGAATCAACGCAAAGACATTGACTCTATACACAACCGGACGGAAGTGACGTGTCTACGTGCTAGAAACAAACACACCGTATTATAAATACATTCACGATCGTTTAGTCTGTTATGCTTGCGTTAGGAAACATTCGCTTTAAGTATCGCTCACTCGCTTATCAGTGCCGCACGATAGTTCTCATAATTGCAATTTCCATATATTCCAGCGCGACGCTCTAGTGATATTCAAAGAGAGAAAGGCAGGTAGAGAAAATTAGTTGGGCGGAATTTCAATCGTCATGACCACTAATTAGGCTCCCTAATGTTGAATACGCCGCATATCCAGTATTCCGCGGAGAAACTCGTTCTCAGTGTAATCATGAGCTAAAATGGACCCGTAGAGGAGATATTCATTCTTTTTTTTCACACATTAATGCATTTGTAGAATACGACAGGGTTCGCACAGACACGTCCAACTGCGCTCTACTCTTTGAGAATGATAATAAATCTATACCGATGATGGCTTTAAAGACTCTCGTTACGTCTTGTTTATAATTATTTCTACGAGACTGGGACCCGTGACGGCGGCGGCGGCGGCGGCGGCCAGACGAGGAAAAAGAGAGAAAAAAAATAAGACGTCACGCGCCGTGTTGGCGTCTGCGGGTAAATTTATGGCACTATATACGTTTCGTGACTCGTCTCGTTTGCAATTACTCGTCTTCAACGTATATGGATCGCGAGCGTTATTGACGGGACGCCTGGGACTATTTCCCGAACGATTTCGACGTCGAGGTAACGAGACTGGTCGAGCCTACTGATCCATGGAGTCCGCGGGCAACGGGGTGGATGATGGTCCCGTCATGGTGTGTCGTTAAAAGTCGGCGTTTGACCCAACCGGGACCGACGGTGGGTATTACGTGTTTGCGTGCCGCGAGTATTCTTCGTGACTCCATGCCCTTTACTTGCCCTTCTCTCCTCAACCGTTCGTCGCGGCCACGCTCCACGAGGTTTACGAGAAGGTAAACGCGGCCCCACGAGAGAGGCATTCGTACCATGCTAGGAATACGATAATGCACACCAGCGTTCTCATGGAAATCGCACTGTCAGGGCGGAGAGTGAATCTACAGCCGGCTACAGAGATAAATCAGCAAATAAATCGTGTTGATTTTTAAGGTCCGTCACTAATTAGTTAGAAATTACTCTCGACAAGAGGAACACTTATCTTTAACTAATTGAAGTGCGTGACCTCAAAACACGGATACATCTGGATAAGAATCGTAATTATTACCTGTGAATCGTTATTACCCGTGTAATTAACTGAATCTACTCATTTCCACATCGTAAAAACAGTCTGAATTCATGTTCATATTCTATATACATATAACGTTAAATAAGTACGCGTGGCTATTTAATTCTTATCCATGAAAGACGGTCTTCGTATAAGATAGACAAATCTCGAGGGTTTGTTGAGCTGGTCCTTGAATGAAATATCTCGATGTAGTTTTGGACTCGGCCGTACGATCGACTGTCATAATTCCTGCGAAATGTTTGTATGGTAAAAGCGAAGGTGAATTACGCGAAAGCGTACGAGTCAACGGGCGGTCACTCGATGAATCATGTCATAAATTACGTCGACTAATGAAGTCGCTACTACCAAAGAACAGCGGCGAGATTTACGTCCTTGGCAAGCTTTATGCCAAAGCTTCGGGGTTTATTTATAACTTCGTATCGCGTTCCTTTTGCGCTCGGGCACTCGGTGCGTTATCTTCGTATCTTTTTAGCTTCTCTCGTGAGGGAGGGGGTGCGTGTACGCACATTGCGTGCAGGGCCTTGCTGAATCTTTGCGGTGCGTAGCGCAGGTTGATCGGTATCGGCCCTCGAAGCGAGCTATTTATGTGGTCATATTCGTTGTTAGTATTAGAAAGCGTAACACCCATGCAATTATTCGCGATGAACGTGCATTTAAAAAAGCAGATAGCAGCTCTTTATTATTCGCTCGGCCGGATAACATTTCAATGCTGAGAAACTTCACGTAACTAGGAAATAGCGTGTAGGTACTGAACAACAAACGCTTGCGGGTATTTCGAACAAGTTTATTGCGTGCGAATCTTCTTTCATACCGTGTCAAGGAACTTAACACTTTACAAACCGCAACCTGTATTAAACTATAGTAATATTTGACTAGTAATGAAACAAATTACAATATGGTGAGTCACACATTTTTTTAATGTTAACAAATGCTAATATAAAATCACCGATTAAATTTAAGTATCTTGTTTTGTTAATGTAAAGTTTACATTTTTTTTATTATCTATTGTTAATAGTTATTAGCTATAACTTTCTTTCATAATTTCCTTTTGTTTCAGGGCGTCGCTATTAAATACATAAAAAGATAGACCTTTTGTTCTACATGAGACATATCACGTGTATCCGCGATCACGCCCGTGCGTTTATAATATTAGTAGATAATTTTTATAAAACGTTATGTATATAATAAAATATTTAAAAAAAATTATTAACAATATTTGCATTGCTTAGATTTGAAATTTGTCAATGATTAAAATACCTACGTAATGATTAAAATTTTGACCAGATAATTTCAATTTTTATAAGCTTATTGAAATCAATATATTTTATTTTTTAAATATTGTGTATTGAATTTAAATTAATATCTACACTCCAAATTTATTGGGAGTGAAATTTCACTTCAAGAAAAGTGATAGTTGCATTAGTATGGCAAGAGTGAATTTCACTTTACTCCTTCAAAGAGTGAATTTCCTAAAAGTTCAACTTTAATGATAATGATCCTGTCAAATTTGTTCGTTTTATGCAAAAGCATGTCGAATGAGCCTAATTTTCGTCAAGATTGGATGTAGGGGGGCTAAAATTAATATTTACATTTAGTCTCTTCTTTCGGAGAGTGAAATTATTCATTTTCCGCAGAGATTGAAAATTAACTCTCACTTGGAGTGATTCTTCACTCTTTAAAAATGAAAGTCTTGTTTCACTCCTTCCGGACCTGCAGCTACCACTCTTCGGGAGTGAAATTTTCTTCCAAAAATTTAAAGTGTATTGTGAAAAATGTATTTTTTAATCTTTATATATAAAATTTATACATTAAAATGTAGCATTGTTGATTTGATGGATACAGTAACTCATGGAAACAGATTGTTGCCTTAATAACTAAAAGAAAATTAAAACGTTCTTCTTAAATGAGTTCATTTGTGAAGACAAATTGTTCCTCAAAGTTTTTTTAGTGGTAGCTTTATGAACTCAAAAAGAATTCCTTTCTAATAATTCAAAAAGGATTCCATAGAAACCTTCTACTTCTTATGGAGTTAAATTGAAGTTTCTGTGAAAGAGAAGTTTTTTTTGTTCGTAATAGGTTTGAAAAGAATCGCTCGATACGTAGCACCGTCGCTAAATGAACGCGACGGAATTGTATTTCTCGTAAGTAAAAACCATACAGGTAAGACCATATAAGTAAAAATCATATAGTTAGAGTAAAAAGCGCAACATTATGAGATTTTTCAATTATGTCCTAATGCAGAGTTTTTTTAAATGTGCCACTGCATATTGGTATAAAAGGTCCCGAGTGTGCCGCAAAAATGTTAGAAAAGAAAGCGAAAAAATTTGAAAATAAGTTAGAAAAATGAGGTGCAAAATGAAAAATATTTTAAAAAGTGTGAAAATTACTTAAGTAATGTCGTGTTTGCTCTCATTTTAACTGAAGCGATATTAATTTTAAGTGAAAATCGACCGAGAAATATTCATAAATGAGCGAAAAAGATCATGTTTGATCAAAGTGGGTCATGGTACTTAATAATATTTTTGTGTAAATAATATTTTACAATTTCTAGTTAAAGCAAATTGCGCAAATTCCGATTGTCTTGAAACAGTCTTCAACTGAAGCTGAAATACATAATATAGGTAAATTGACTGGCAATTTAATAATATATTGATGTTAATGAGCATTTCTAAACACTGTAAAAAATTTATTGCAAAAAATATTGCCTCAGTCGGGATAATATCACCTTATGTCTCAATGGTTGAATTTGTAAGACGCCTGCATGGAATGAGAAAATTCCACCTTCAAATCTCGACTGAGATGATATTTTTCGCAATAAATTCTTTACAGTACTTTAAAGATGCTCATTAGCATCGGTATTATTAAATTGCTTATTAATTTAATTTATGATATTACACATTCCATCTTCAGTTTGAGACTATTTCAAGACTGACAAATAATCGATATGCTTGAACTGGAAATTAAGAGTTACTTATTTATGTTTATTTTTGCTGAAATATTATTTAAAAGCTATTTTGACTTCATTGCGAATTCTTACAGACTATAAAAGGATTTTTTTTGTATCTAAGAAAAGAATTCAGAATTAGTTCAAAAGTGAAATTTTTTGGAGTTCTTAAGAATGTTCTTTTAGAATAAAAATGAAATGGGAAAAGAATATATTTCATAATTTACTGAATCAAAAAGAATTCTTTTTCGATTCTTTGTACTGTCTGAGTTCTTAAAAAGAAATTTTTCTACACTAAGGTATATACTGATTTTTTTAGTTCAATATATGTATTAATATTTTGTTAACTGATTAAAATTCAAAATTATAATTCCGAAAGGACAGAATTATATTTACTAATTTTTTTTCTAAACAATTTAAGATAAGTTTAATTCGATGAAAGGTATTAATGATTAAAGTTATTGCTTAAACAACGTGTTTTCCGAGAATTTTTCAAGAAGACTAGGAGGAGAAGTATACGGTCTCAGATTTCAATAAACGACTTCACAGCAAAATCACTCAAGTTCAAGAGGTTAAACTCATTCGCGAGACATCACGTTACATGAAATAATATCGATTTGTCTCACGATTTTATCTATAGTCACGACTAATTCGCATGGCAGCAAAAATCCCGCTAGATGCCAATGCGTAGCGTTAGCATTTTCAGGTTGTGTCGGTGAACCGTTCGCCGATAACAAAAGGGCAAGGGTCGCAGCAGTTGCGCTGGAGGAGGAAAATTGCTTACCAGGCGTGGGAGGAGGATCGGTCGGTGGATCCGGGAGTCGTGCTGGCGGCGAGTCCAGCAGAGTCAGAATGCACAACGCGGTGACCAAGACCGCGACGAGTCCCATTCTGCATAATCTCCTCGTTCCCGCGACCGGCATGCTGCTCGTTTCCTTTATTATTATTTTTACCCGCGAAAATCTTCATTCGTCATGCGCGTTCGTCACGAGCGCAATGGCGACGACATGTCTTGGACAGTTTTTATTTCGCGAGATTCCTCTGTAAGCGGAGCATGCCGATAATGCACCTCAGCCACGAACGCATCTCGGACGTTGACACGACAGGTCAACGCTATGCATTCTACACAGTTTTCATCTCATTCCGCATGCGATTCTTTCATCACGCGATATGACGCACGTAGTCTTTTCAAGCGGTTTATAAATTCGTAGTTCGCTCACATGGTCTCATTTTATTCTTCCTTTTCCTGCGACATTCCTTTCGTTTTGTTTTCAAATTTCTTGATTTCATTCACTCGCGGCGATGTGATTTGCATAGAGATTTAGCTACGGTTTGCTAACGAACTAGTTGCAGGTGATTATTCGAGTTGCTGCCTACTTGGCGGCACGAACTTGCTCTGGATCAGGTTCCCTTCATCTCTCGGGTGATCTCATCCAGATCGATCTGTTGGCCGCCTTTGGCTCGGCACGCGTTTTCGCGATATATTGAAGAAATTGGTGCTAGTCACATGCTTAGTTCTTAAACGATCCGTTCGTAATAAAATCAGTGCATTTTTAATAGAACAGAATAAAAGCGCGGTTTAAACAAAGTCGCTCTATCCGCGTGTGGGTTCCGGAATCAACGCACGAATCTGTTTCTCCGCTTCGTTTCGCGCGTAAAAAGCGCCGTACGCGATGCCTCGACCTCCCACGCGATCACGACGACATACTGCTGCTTCTTCCTCGGCTTTGTAGGTAGACGACGACCATGTATGGTCGTCCTGAAAGGTTCGCGTTTTCCTGCCTCCGGGCTTTCGATAATTCAATTATTCCAATCCGTTGCGATCGATCGATCTCCGTGTCGAAGGGTTTTTCTGACCGATTCCGGTTTTTTTTTTATTTTACGATTCATTGAAGCGTGAAAATTTTTGAAGAGCCCAAAGGCTATACCGTACCGTTGCGATCGCATTTCTCCGTGGTAAAAAAGCGTGGCTCACGCGCGTCGCACACGGGCGTGACCATTTCGAATTCATTTTTGCCTCGGCCTGTCGATTTTAAACACGGCCACCGAAAGTGGAACGCTGAGAATGATGGCGCGTCTCTTTTTAATCGTCACATTCCACGCGCAGTTGGACTGATTTCGCAGGCGTGAGAAACGCGTCTGGAAATTAAATTTGCCGCCAGTCGGCGTCACGGTGTAATACCCCCGATATAAACTGTTCGCAAACCAAACCCAAGAGCGCGATCGGAATCTCTCGCGAATTAATTTACGATGTCCGTTTTAATCCGTGGCTCTTCCCAGTCGAGCACCGTGACTTCCCTCGGATTATCTTCTCGTGCACTTCGAAATTAAATTCTCATGACCGCGAAACACATGGGAGATATAAATTGCGAGAGAGCTCGAGCTTGATCTTTACGATTATCTTGATTTGCACTATTTTGTTGGCTTTTGGTTATCATTGAATAGCAATTAATAGAATGCGTTTCACACGACACATTACACGAACCGGAGGACTCTCTTTTTAAGAAAGATTCTTTATTATTGTCTATCCCTCTTTTGTTCCTTTTCGTGCCGGCGATATCGTCGCTGGTGCATGAGGGACACGTGCACGTGGCTTCTCTCTCGCAGCTGCCTGTTGGCTGGTTGCACGTGGTCGGCGGATCGACCGACAGGATTAATGCAACCTGGCCTGCGCGAGAGTCGAGAGCGTACTGCGTTCGAGCGGGAGGTTAACGCGCCACCGGGGCCTCGTACGGAGGTAAGACGACGACTTTGGACCCGTTGCCTTAGCATGCCTCACCAATGCGCCTTGCTATACTCCGTCCCTACTCGCCTTTACCTTGCCTCGCTTCGACCTAGCTCTTCTCGACTTGCTTTGACTTGCCTCTTAGCTTAGCTTTATCCCACTCTTCGGTTGGTTGGTTGGTTGGTTGGTTGGTTGGTCGGTCGGTCGGTCGGTTGTCGATTGTGCTCCTTGTCCACCCTGACAACGTTAGTTGAGTTTACCTTGTCGCAGCCTTGTGAATCGCGTCGCGTTTCACGTGCTCCTCTCTTTTCATGTCTTCTTCGTTCTTTTTCCTTGTCGTTTTGCACCTCCGTTTTGTCGCTTCTGTATACCATTAGTCTCCTCTAAGCTCATTACGCAGCACTAACTAGTTTTTGTGGTATTTCTCGTTTTGATAAATCGATTTTCGACTAATGGATAAATATCATTGCACAATATATAGTATATTTATATTAAATTGTTAGATATTTATTGTAGAATAAATTATCATGAATTGATATATCTCGTTACTTTAATACGTTTTCTATTTTAAACTTTAATGTTGCATTTTTTCAGGATAAGTTTAGCAAATAAATACGCTAAAATTTTCTATATTACTTTATTTTAAACATATATACTGTTTAAATTTTAAGATTTTTATTTGAAACAATATAAGTATATTTTAAATAACAATAAAACGATTTATCGGTTACATTTTGTATTTTATAATTTGAAAATATCTTAAAAATAACTATATATTTATAGAAAAAGGGTATGATATTAAAAAAGGAGATATTTCCCATTTTCTGATATTAATTTATGTATTAATTCAGTATAGATTAAAATCTTTAGATTTTTTTATAACTCTTAAAAATTATATGTAGAAAATGATTTTTTTGTTTTATATTCTATTTTTAATAAAATTTTTTTAATTTTTATAATTTTTGTATATTATTTTTAATTTATTTTTAGATATTTTTTTTAATGAAGATACGTTGAAAGCATTTAAAAAATATTTAAATACGTTCTAAAAGCGCTTTAATACATTTTATTTTAAAAGTCTTGAAATTAATGTAATTCGCACACGGATATTTTTACTTTTTAGTGTTCATTTTTTAAATCACCTTTTGGCAATGCTTAATTTTACAACGATGTCGGGCGAGATATATTGTAAATTAGTCATACGCTTTTATGTTAGCTACATCTGTTTTCTAGGAGTATATAACCGCGGCGATTTCCTTGGTCACCGTAACGTCGTTATCCTCCAGGAGTCGTATCTCCGGCTGTAATAAAACACCTTTCCCCTTCTGTTTCTCTTTTCTCGTACCCGGCTTTATGCCCTTACATCCAACTTTATCTCATCTTATCTCTACACATTGCTTGACCTTTCCTCTTGTATCCCACTGTTTTCGCCTGTCCACCCGCGTACGTTGTTTCTCGCTGCTTCTCTCGTTCCTATCTCTCTTCCGTGAATTCTCTCACGTTCGTTCCTCTTCTCATTTTCATTTCCCTTTTTCTTTATCCGTCTGACCACCGTCAAGCGTGAGCTACTTGCTCGTGTCAAAATCGATCGCGTGCTGCATGATATTGACTATACGTGTGCTATCACACACAGCAGGCAGATTGCATTTAAATCTTCCTGACGCGTCTGTCGTTACAGAGCAATCGCTATGGATGATCTTTTTGCGGAAATTACGATAGACGCGGTTTTGTCTGCGGCGCGTGGAATGCGAGAAGAAGAGAGAAACCGCGTGCCAGTATTCGATGAGAGAATGCGAATGGTTGTTCTCGTTCATTTTTCGCTTCTACATCACGGCTCACACGATTTCCACGAATCATGGTGCGTGTGCACGACTGTCCTGAAGGCTAATGCAATGATATGTATTGAGGAATGATCGCTCATTACGAGGACCGGTTGAGTCTTCGAGTGTATGAGTGATAGGTAAAATCGGTCGGGATCAGATGGCGCCGGGATATATCGCCGCTTGTTCTCGCATTAACAAATCTCATAAAGCAAAATCACTATATTAATATCGACGAAAAAGAAGGTGCAAGTACAATACTGGATTCACCTGTTTTGCGCCTGTTGCACTGTGGGCTAAAATATTTCAAGCGCCTTTTTATATGTGATTCACCTGGGTAAATTTTTTTTCAAGAATTATCTATATTAGACTAATTTAAAAATTGATTTTCTCGAGATCTTGTTTTAAAAAATCCTTTATTTATTTTGATTCAAGTAAGAAAAACGAAAATAAAAAATTGAAGAATATAAACTGAAGATACGAATAAATTATATTAAGGGGATCCTAAAGCTGTCTGTATTACCGATTAAATCATAATTTTTGTATAACAAATACTTTTTTCTCTTTCACAGATTCAAAAATCCTTTTCCAGGATTAAAGTATACACATTAATATGTGTTTGTGAGGTGAAATTTATGCCCCGAGCACGACAAAAAATTTCGAAATTGAATACTTTAATCCTGGAAAAGGATTTTCGAATCTGTGAAAGAGAAAAAAGTATTTGTTATACAAAAATTACGATTTAGTCAATAATACAGATGACTTTAGAATCCCCTTAAAATGATTTTTTTTGCATTTTAACATAGAAAATTGATCAATAATGTCGTTATAATTTAAGTTTATGGTCATCGGATTCGATATGAAGAATGGAAAGCTTATTTAATCTTTTTATTGCGCAGTTGAACGTGTAGACAACTTTTTACTCTCTTTGTGGTGGAGAAACTATATCCTGCAATTAGTGCTTGCAATACAAAAACACAATCAAAAGACGACATTAATGTTTGGATATACATACAGTATGTAATTTAAAATCAAGAAACCAATTATAGAAAGAAATCATCTATGAATAATTTGAATGCATCCAGTAGTGCAATCGTTTACTAAGCGACTAAGGGCCAGTTTCACCAACGTCAGTTAACTTAATCGGTCGTTAACTGACCAATCATAATTGCTGTTTAGTAGAATTGACTAGAATTGACCAATCACGGTTGACAGTTAATCACCGATTAAGCTTAATCGGCGGCGTTGGTGAAACTGGCCCTAAGGCCCGATTGCACCAACGTTACTTTAACTTTAAGCGCGCGAGGCTTAAAACTTTCTCTCTCTCTCTCTCTGCCTCTCTCTCGATTTAAATAAAAAAGATTTTAAGCTTTACTTAAAGTCAAAGAAACGTTGATGCAATTGGGTCTAAGTAGCAATACTAAGAACAAATTCTGCTGCCCCTAAAAATCTTGCTGCCTTGGGTTATAGTTTGTTCAGCCCATGCCTTAATCAGATACTGCACAAATAAGGCACGAGAATACGGCACCGTACACCGCTAGATTTCAAAAGCAATGATAACCCAATCCCTTGAGTTAAAAATAACAAAATGTATCGAGTTAAATGTATTGAGTATATGTATTGAGTTAGAAATAACAGTTTGTTATTTTTAACTTTTATATGTATCAAAATGAAAATCAATCTATTTCTATGGTTAGTTTAAAAATAAATAACGTCTATATTAATGTATACACTATACTGAAAAAAATATTTGTGTAAAATTACATGATTATGCTGGGTTTTTTCCGACCCAGCATAATCATATAACATTACTTAAATATGATTGTAAAATTACCTAAATGACTGGAAAATTACACCTAAATATTTATGTAATTTTCTAGTCATTTAGAAAATTTTACAATCATATTTAAGTAATGTTATATGATTATGCTGGGTCGGAAAAAACCCAGCATAATCATGTAATTTTACACAAATATTTTTTTCAGTGTAGTAAATAAGAAACTAAGGCCCGTATTCAGAACTCGCTTTTATCGATAAAAGCGCGCTTTTATCTCTGAAATTCTATAATATGCGTGATGTAAAGTGTAGTATGTTAGCGCGCTACATCGTTATAAGTGCGTTCTGAATACGGGCCTACATTTGAGTCGAATTTAATACATTTTCTTGAGTTAAATTGTTTAACTGCATTGTGTTTTGATTTAATTGACGATATATTGAGTAAGAGCAGTGGCGACCTATAAAAATGATTAAAAGTTATTCAAATTGGGTATAATTTGACATTATGAATTTAGTGCAGTTTCTTTCTTGATACATGCACTCTCTTGCCCCACTCCCCAAGACGATCGTCCCAAGAATGTCATCGGGCAAAAGAACAGGAACGGGCGCAGTACACCTTGCGCAATGATACAAACAGCAATCGTTCCAAACTTATTATCGCCAGTAAGAAACTCATAAATGCTTATGACTTGCTTGCTGGTTTTTGCTATGGCGTTCGTACGATCCAGTTAAAGCGACGTTTCGCCGGATTGACTCGGCAACCAGCTGGAGATAGACTCCGGCGCGGAGAAGCTGAAGGAGATTCGCCGCGTCCCCGCTGTGTGTTGCGGGACAGAGCGAGAGAGAAAAAGGGGACAAATGAGAATGGCGGAGAGAGACAGAACGATAGGGCAAGGGGGCGAGAGAACGGGAGTACAAAGAAGAGGTGGAGGAGCCTGGGGAGTCCCTTCAACGTCATTTGTAATACCGGATGGCCTAATGATGCGACTGGTCGTGACAGGACGGGAATAAGAGTGGAAGCGTGCGAGCGCGTTGGAGATTCACCGTGGATCTCCTCGCTGCGTCGCGTACCAAGATATACGAAAGAGGGTATATAGAGCGGGCGCAGAGAAGAGACAGACGGTCATATACATCCACGTGTCTCGGTCACTCGGTTGTTAAGGACGCGCAGAAAGCCTCGGGGACGTATTCCACTCGTCTCGTGATGCGCGACGGCGATTTGCTTCACCGTGGTTGTAGATCACGGCAAAGAGGATCTAATATCTGTTCGTCGTGCATGCACCACTACAACCACCCGTAATATATACGCGAGCGTGGCTTTTTTTTGTCGTGTGGGGAAAAGTACGCTCGCGCGTTGAAATTAATCTCCCACTGGCTGGCTCCACGAGGAGCCAAGATAATTTACTCGCGCGG